TCATTTTTTACTTACGTAAATGTGTTGGATAAACGTTCCTGTTCGAGTGATTGAGTGCTTTGCGTATAGGTTACCTTTTTTTGAGATCATATTTCATCTTTTCAGGCGTCGCATTTTTTGCCATTTTTAATATTGGGAAACCCATAGACTTATTAGCGACCCTCCCCGGTCGCTAATCGGGAAGAGTTCCCTATTAGCGTTTTTTGCAATGGTTTGCCAAAATGCTCACTACAAATAAGTTAGTGAATATTGGGGCAGAAAATGACTATATTTCAATAGAAAAATGAACGATCTCTCCGAAAATCAAGCCAGTAACACAGTGGCACCTACAGAGCGTGAGCAATGACGGTTCAAATTAAGGGGGTCGCTAATTAGGCACCTTACCCTAGTCGTATTGATAGTACTGCATAATTCCAAGCAAAAACATATCTTAAAGTACAACAACATAACTACGCTGGATAGTTTCCGAAAAAAACTCTGCTGACACGATGTGGTCCGTGACACAATCTGCCCCACTCTCCCCTAGTTATAGTCATGCACGATCATAGTCACTTCTATCATACCCTTCTTTATTTTCTATCATTTTTGGGAATCCTTTTAGTTCGTGCGCCTCTGCAATGTGTGGAGAAGTTCCATCAATGTGTGTGATTTAAAATTGTGTAAAAAATAACAATAAATAAAAATTGTTTTTAAATCAATGTGTTTTAAAATTGACTCTAGGCAATTAAAAATCATGGTCTGTGGGGATTTACCCGAAATTTGCGTTGTGCACGACACCATACTAAACCGGTCGCTAGCAGTGTGCCAAGCTTCACTTCTTGCAATCGGCCCAGCAGTTCCCGAGGTCTGGAAGCGGCACCTTGCACGTACGCATGTACCAGCTTTGAGCACAATCGGCCCAGTAGTTCTCGAGATATGGAAACAACCCATGCTCGTACACGTGTAATAACACCCTGACCGAAACACATGACAATGCAATGCCTCGTAAGCGCCTCCCTATATGCCAAGGTTCGGGGAAAACACCCCAGTAATTGCCGAGTTAAAGAAATGATAATAAATTCGACGCCTCCTCTTTCTGCATTTTGCACGTGCAACCGGGGTGACCCACATGTATGCGATGTGCCAGTTTTGAGCGCAATCGGCCCAACCGTTCTCGAGATCCAGAAGTGGCACCCTGCATGTGGGCACGTGCAGCAGTACCCAAATTGGCTGATTGGCTGACGATGACGTGGCTGCATTCCTCAGCAAGGCACTCTTTACTTAACCCGCGCATGACTGGGGGGGGGGGGGGCTCTACAGAGCCCCCTCCCGTTTTTCGGCAATATCTTCTAAACCGTATCACGGATCAACACGAAACTTGCAGTACCCTCAGAGGCATTAATTTGACATTTTGTGTTAAAATTTCAACTTTCTAGCTACCCTAGTTTGGCCGGAAATGACGTCAGAGTGACATCATGTCGGCCGATTTTGATGCAAAATATTGAATTACGGCAAACGCTCTTAAGAACTTAGTCTTAAAGCTAGATCCAATTTCTTTGCGTCAGTGGACTACAAATACACGCAGCTACCAGACTGCTCTCTCGAATTGTCAAAATTTTGAAAATTTTGAAAAATATGTTTTTACAATAACAAAAAATATATTTATTGATTTTTTCAAAAAGTTTGATTTTTTAACCGGAATTTATGTAATAGAACACACCCTGATGAACAACTCTAGCAAGTTTTAGCCCAATATCTGCAAAGATAGCCAAGTTATTTGCATTATTGTCAAAATTGTACAATGATATATTTTTTTCAAAATCATTTTTTCAGTACGTTGTTGACATCGTACGGCAACATAAATGGCACCATCGTGTTCCTGAGCTCAAACTGCATCTGACAGGCATTTTTTTTTTGTTAAAAAAAATAATTTTCAAAATTTGACCTTTTCTGACCTGAAATTGACCTGACCTCCGGTAAATTCAGCTGAAAATGACCTGAAATAACAGAGACATTATTTTCGAAATCTACGTGTAAAATTGACCATAAAACATGCGTCACGTGGCCGATACATGATATACAATTTTCGTGACCTAGGATGACCTGGCCTTGACCTGAAAAATTCGAAGTAAAAGTTTAAATTGTAAACAAGCAAAAATGCCGATAATTTTTATTTTGACCTGACCTGTGACGTCATCGGTGACCTCGAGGTCAATGAAAATAGGTTTCACTCGCAGGGTTGTGCTTGACTCATGAGTCGAGTCAGAAATTTGACTCAACTCTGACTCAAATGAGTCAGATTTGAGTCGAGTCGGATAAAATGTTGAGCTGTTGAGTTGAGTCAGAGTTGAGTCGGACACAAATATTAAGGCGTTGAGTTGAGTCAGAGTTGAGTCAGTAAAATAACTTTTGACATTGAGTTGAGTCAAAAACATTTAGGAACATTAGTCAGCTGACTCAACTCATTCTAGCCTTGGTATATAGAAGGTCTCTTGTTTTGAAACACTTTTTATTAGTGTGACGTTATGGGCGCAAAATGACCTTCGCAGTCGGCGCGCCCTAAAGCCCCAATAAACAACAACAACAACAGCTGACTCATCTTTCTAGAAACAATCTACATAAGCTTTTCATTCTCCCCCTGCTTAACAACTTAGGCCTGGCCCTGCTGCAGGATTTTTTTCACCCCTCCCCCCGCTCAACAACTTTTTTATCTGAGTCAATTTTGAGTCAACTCACTTGACTCAACAAAAAATTTGAGTCAAGTTTGAGTCAACTCATATTTTCATTGAGCCGCTTGAGTCATGAGTTAAGGGAAAAAATCAGCTCCTTAATTGAGTCAGAGTTGAGTCAGGGCTTTCTGAAGTTGAATGATGAGTCGAGTCGGCAATTTTTTTTTAGTCGAGCACAACCATGTTCACTCGACAGTTTTTCAAGGGCTATCAGACGCCGTTTGAAGTTTGACGATCGGCCGAGTAGTTTCGGAGATAAGAGGGGGCTCTGGAGAGCCCCCCCCCCCCGCTTAGTCACTCGCGTTATGGAAAATACCCCAGTCATGCGCGGGTTAAGGAGCGAGAAATGGAATATCTTAGTCTAGGGTGATCGTTGGGCCGTAAAAGCTCCTGATTTGTGCTAGTCTCAGCTCAAGCTACGAAACTGCTATTCCAGTTTAAAATCCCATGTTAACCCGCGCCCCGCTGGGGTCGTGGATTTCCACGCCCTGGGGGGAGGGGTCACAGGTGCATTTTTCCGATTCAGTGTGTCATGTTTGCCTATGAAACGATGTTTGCGAGGGTTTTGAACATTATTCGTCCAAAAGAGGCGCATTTCAATTTTCTCCCATTGATTTATAATTGAGAATTCGCAAAATTGACCTGACCCTGGGTCACCGATATCGAAAATCCGAGATATACAGTTTGTACATACTGTTACTCTTATCAATCGCTGAAAGTTTCAAGGCGATCGTTCAGTCGGTGTAGCTATGACTAGGATGGAAACTTTTTTTGAGGTGAGGTCACTTGACCTGACCTGGTGACCTGACCTTGAGAGCCCTGGGTCTGAAACTGGAAAAAGAGCTCTGTATATAGAGTGCATCCCTTAGAGGCAAGAAAAAAGATCTAGTTGAAATGTAAGCTTTTTTTTAATAATTCCAATCAATTGAAAGGATATTTTTTTCCATTTTTGACTCTTGCTTTAATTCATCTGGGAATAATTATTGAAATGTGCAGTAGATTGCCTACATCATTCTCCATCTTTTGGATTTTGGAGTTAGAGTTCCACCTAAATACCTACATTGTTTGGCGTATTAATAGTATTCCTGTAATCTCTATACCCCTTTAAATGATTAATTATGCATGTGCTATTTATCATATCAGAAAATATGAGCGTTTCAGGGCGTAGTTTAGCATGTTATCTCACTGTGGTGGCAAAAGCCTCCGCAGTTGCGGATGGTGCCTACCCAGTAACAGCCATTTCCCTCCCCAGTTAATGCCATCCATTCGATGAACATTGCCACTCCGACAGCGCCCCTGAAGTAATAAGCCACACAACTGTTCACGGCACACAACTGAGTGTGCTGAAGGCTTGAATTTTTCATTAAGATTCTTTCAAGCCACGCTTTTCTACTAGCTTAGGGTCTTTGAGGAAGTGATGACCCCAGTGTGCAACCTAACGAACAACACAGTCCCATTACCTATGCGTTCAAAGTTCAGGCGCTATTCTTATAAGAAATATCTTTACAAAGCCAAAGCATATGCTGACAACGCACCAAATTAAATCTAACCAGTATAACGCCTTTTGGGGCGACTAACAGAGCGAGCGAGAGGGTGAGCCTTGCACGTGCGAAATTTCGACGGGGTACCTCCAGCTGACTTGTGCACGGCACCCTACTAACCGGTCTTTAGCGATGTGCCAAATTTCAGCACAATCGGCCCAGCCGTTCTCGAGATCTAGAAGCGGCACCCTGCACGTGCGCACGTGCAAAATGGGTCTCAACTGACTTTTGCACGGCACCCTAGTCCTACTAACCGGTCCCTAATCATGTGCCAAATTTGAGCGCCATCGGTCCAGCCGTTCTCGAGATCTGGAATCGACCCCTGCACGTGCGCACGTGCAGCAGCACCCCAATTCTGGCACATGGATATGCATTGCCTAGTGGGTGCCTACCTACATGCCAACTTTCAGCGCAATCGGCCAAGTAGTTACCGAGATATTGCAACAATTACAAAACTGACACCTCTTCGTTTTGCGCGTGGCACGTGCATAAGGGGTCACCCACATGCATCGGGAATAGTCCAATACTTGGTAGAAGGAATGAAGCTACCCTACAAAAATTACCCCGTGTAAATCGGTCAAGTGGTTGCTGAGATATAAGCCTCGCAAAAGCGTCCGCACGGCCGGTCGGCCGGCCGGCCGCTCATACTCAGAAATTTTCGTTTATCTAAGGAAAGACTACGCTCGCTTCGCTCGCTCCGTAATCAACGACTATTCGTTCCCCTATTCACCCCCCCCCCATCCCACCCCGACACCTCAACCTTCAAATGCCAGCCGCCATGCTCCCGAGTCCCGATCGGCCCTTGCGACATGAGCGCCCCTAGCGGCGAAAATAACGCGTCACCTCCCATTGATGTGTGATAAGGTGTGCCAAAAACGGCGTCGCCGTTTTTTGAGATATTCGCGAAAAACCACAGGCGGTTCAAACACCCCCCCCCCCCCAGGGCGCGGGTTAAAATTGAACTATTTACTTTCCCCTGCAGGCAAAACCGTTGACGGTAGGTCAAATTTGAGATAATTACTCAGATAGAGCGTTGAAAGGGTACGTATCAAATGCGCGCTTTTCCATCCGCCCGCGGCGCTGTAACTCTACTAGTGTCCATTTGTTTAAAATTGTCTAAATTTTACGGAGAAATCGGCGAATTTTGGCCAATGACCCCGTATCGCTACGTGGCCCAGGAGCCGAGTTAGAAGGCGGTGTTTTAACACCCCAACCCCCCCAGCAGGGCGTGGAAATCCATGACCCCCAGCGGGGCGCGGGTTAAAGGCTGAGGGTGACAGGCTGGAAAGTCCGCCAGAGTGATCTTCGCTTGTGCATGAGCCATGATGGTGAAGCCAGGCTGTATACCGCCTGATGAGAGCGGCTTGTTCCTTTGACAACTGGCAACTAATGTTGCAATTTATACATATGCCAAAAAGGTATAATCTTTATCTAAGTTCAAACACTGAAGCTATGGGAGTACAAACTTTCCAAATACTAGCTGGCTTGTACACCCGTTGTTTACAAGGAAGCACTCGATTCTAAAAAGAAAGCTCGTAGGCCGGAAAGAACACCATCAGAAGGGTGTACCAATTCGTACCTCGTGCTTGGGGTTCCTAACGGCGGACGCTCCGAGATGGGTGTAGCCAGGAGATTGTCTATCTGGCCGACCTGTTCGTTCATGTACAGGCGTAGATCACTCCGGCGGGCTTCCAGCCTGTCTCCCTCAGCCTTCAAGATGTCGATTTCCTCTTTTGTGCGCGATAGACGCATGAACAGATCACACACCAAGCGTTTTTTACGGAGATCTGGCTCATCTCCGTTCGCTGCTTCCCATGTAATCTGCCCGGTTATGCAGTCACCTACCGAGACCGATGTGCCGGTGAGCTCCTCATATCTGATGAGAAGCCGCGACAGCCTGCTACTCTCATCGCGCCTAAGGCGACGAAGGCGAGTCCGGGCTTTCGACGTGTCGGCATCACGGCTTATCATCTTCGTCTTGGCCTGTATGCTGGCGCTGAGGAGCTCTATCGAGTCTCGAAGCTGTTGGACGTTGACGTTGGAGGACCTCGCACTGCTCTCGAGAGACCTTGCCAGAGTGCGAAGCTCCCCAACGTATCGGCTAAGAGACTCGCGGTCAATCGTGAATCGGGCTAGGGCACCCTCCAGCTCTTCTTCAAGGTCCCTCGCCTGCTTTTCCATCCGCTGAAGTCGCTCGGTGAGCTCCCGCGACAGTCGTTCTCGCCTCCGTGCATTCCAGTAGAGGATCTGGTCGGTTAATTCGTCGACCCTCTGAGCCCTCGACATGTGTTTCGTTGTGTTGCCGGCTCTACTCAGGTGGGCGTTGGCGATCTCTGTGGTCTCCATGACCGACCATCCAGAGCCCTCTTGCCAGAAGCCACCGTAAGTAATCTGGAATATGAGATGCAGCTGAACACATACATATTTACTATCCATGACGTCACCAACTAAGCAAGTGCGCGTCAACTAAGAAAGTGGCTGCTGTTAGTTCGTATATTTGTTTGCGCGTTGATAAGCTGACTACGCATTTAAGAACAGGGAGTAAATCGGCATCTTTTAGAGGAACGATTTATCGAAAATTCACGGAAATTTTACATTACATCTTTAAATGGACCCTGACACAAAGTCAGTGAATTGGCATACAAGTAATGTACCGCAGTTTAAAAAGGGCAAAATTTCTATAAATTTTTAGAAAAAAAAAATTAAGTGACCATCCCACCTTAACATTAGTCCTGAGTTCAGATAGCCAAATTGGGGTCCCTGGCTCGCACATACCGGTGTGGACACTCACAACATCGAGAAAGGCTTTAATTCCGAGATATTTAATTTCAAAGTTTTAGCACATTTGATTCAGAGGGGCTAATGCATTTAAATGCCCCCTCTGAATTTGTGACGTAAGCGCCTATCTAGCGATTTTTAAATCTTATACTAACAGCTTTGTGAAGCAGTGGTGGTATATGCTATTTGCGCGCAACATCTGCCGCAAGTGCCGCACTCTAAAGATGCCAAATTATTGCTTCCAAATGACGTCGTAGGAACAGCGGAGGCCTCAAAAAGTTAACAAAAGTTAATGTGTAAAAATCATGAAAACTGGTGAATATGTTTTGTTAAATTTTGGTAGATATTCGTTTTTTGCTCTTTCTGAACCGAACGTGCTCTTTCTGGTGAGCACGCTCGGTTCTGGTGAGCACTTTTTTAAGGTGGGAGGGTCCCTTTAACCCCTATGTAGACATAAAACTTTTATTTCTGTTAATTTTTTTCGGGGCCTCCGCCGTTTCTCTGACGTCAATCGGAAGTCATTATTAAGCACCTGTAAAGCTCGGCAAATGTTGCGCGCAATTAAGTATATACAAGCACAAACATAAGTATCTTTTACCAAGGTTTTGGAAAATCGCAAGATCTGCGCTGACGTCGCAAATGCTAAGAGGGCATTCAAATGCATTAGACGGCACCATCAATGCACCAGAAGTCAGTTAGAGGTCTGTATTTGCACTTTCGCACGTGCGGGGCTCACTGACATTGCAATCTCTTGCCCCAAAAGGCGAAAAGGGAGGTAAACTCTTTACTCGTCATTTATAATATACTACTATAGGTGCCCAGCATTACGCGCAGCGTAATATAAATCCAGTTTCATTGAAATCGGCCCAGTAGCGGCTGAGTTATTGCAAGAGTTAATTTGGCAATTCCTCTAAGCCGGCAGTGCCCTGCGAACGGTGTTCATTGTCAAAGTTCAATGACCTTTTGGCTCTGATGCTTTTCGCTCAGTTTTTGCAGCGAACAACCTGAGCCTAAAGCACGTGCTCTCTGCTCGGCGCCGGCCGCAGCCCAAAATGCGGCAAAGATACGCCCGCCACATGCACACCGCTGAACCCACCCCCTCCAAAATTTAATACAAGAAACAGATGCCCGCGTCCGACTTACGTCGAAAATTTCACCCTCGTAGCCCGCACCGTTTCGGAGCAATAGCCCGCCAAGCGTGACTGACGCGTTACATACATACATGCAAACGTACAGACGTTTTGATTTTTATACAGGGTAATACTGTATGTTTGGTACTAAACGACAGGTAGCTAATGCTCTGTACGATTAATGTCAACTATGCGAATTTTTGTCCGCATCTATCTCCATGGGAATTATAGCAATCTGAATCAATTAACACTAATGATTCACAAATTCACGCGCATTCCTCCCACCTGGCAGTGATAAGAGTGGCCTGTGGCGTGCATGACGCTCAAGTATGGAAGTGACTGTGTGGAGAGCTCCGGCATCTTGCGATGCACATCCTGCAGCCACTTCCAATACTGGCAGACCACGTCGTAGGCAAAGAAGGGCACGTTTGGGAACCTGTGAAAAGGGAAAAGGGAAATCAACGGTACGGTATGGGAGTCATGGGCGATACCATGGGAACCCCATCGGAGTTATGCTTTACTCTGCATTGCAACTTCCACAGCACGACAAAAACACTGTTCTGATATCTAAAGTCTAGTTACAAAACGATGGTATGGAATTTATTGGACACTATTAAAATGTTAAAATTCAGCGACATTCGATTTTCTCAAGTTCAATTTTAAGCTTTTCACAGTCTTCAAACGTACTTGGTGCCAAAGCGCTTTGGAAAAAAACAACAACTTATAGATGGTACCTGAACTGGTGCAGGAAGTGAGCGTAGGCATATATTTCGCCCCGATACATATCCAGTGCTGATAGCACCACGCTATGCCGGCAGGTAGCCAGGCACAGTCCAGTGACGTCTTGGGAGCGTCTAGCACTCAACACGCTAGACGAGTTTCGCGCGGCTGACCACGTGGACGCCCCGCAGAGGGTGCTGACCTGTAACAACCAAAACGACGTTATTTCACTATTCTCCATATGTAAACCGCGCCCGGATGGGATCTCAGCTAATCTCGCCATGATCGGGGGAGGCGTATTTGGCAACACTAGATTATCTCGAAAACTAAAGGTCTGTTCCCGTCGCTCTTCTAACCTCCTCAAAGCTCCTCTAGCCTCCTCCCGTTTCAAAAAAATCGTTCCCGTCGCTCCTCTAAGCTCATCCCAATTCCACATCTCACCACCATTACTTGCCTCCTCCCTCATCCCAAACGAAAGTTGTTTTTTTTTTAGGCTCTGTGTAGACATTACTAGCGCGCGTAATACAAACGTGGATTGTTTATAAGTGAGATTTGTGCGAGGTGGAAATGATTGTGGGGATTAAAAAGCATAGCTGCATATGATATCTTTGAATAGTAACTTTCAATATTTATCTCTGGTTATTTTATTTAAAATGATTATTATCACTAAATCATTGTCCGCGCGCCATAAATTGCCGACCGATTGTTACAGCCCGCAAACAGCTGATTTCCTCGCAAAAATTGTTCCCGTGGCACCTCTGAAACGGTTCTCCGCTAAGCTCATCCAACCTCATCTGATATTTTTTGGAGGAGCGACGTGAACATACCCACATTACTAGTGATACAAAGCATGCCGTACTGCCACCTAGCGACCGTTAACAAAAGCTTTAGCGCGAACATTCCCACTGAGGGTTACTTGCATCTAACTTGATCAAAGATCTAAATCACGCATCTAAGATCCGAAACCAAAAGGCCAAAGGCCGAATCTTATGAAATAAAATTGATCCACATACTGCAATTAAAAGTCTAGCCAAGGTCTGACATACCCAAGACAGATCGGATTTAAAGCGCAAGCGGCGTTGATGCACGTGCCTTTAATTATACGCCCGCAAATATATAGTGATGGGATTGACGGCGCACCAGCAACGAGGGGATCCCGGCGACTGCGCTGAGCCTTCGCGCCACCCGCTGGAGGGGGGGGGGGGGCATCAAATGCCTCCTTTATTTCTGCGACGATATTATCGCAACGAGAAGAGATAGAGAGACGAAACTTTGCACACATCTTGCTGAATACCTAGCCGAGGTTGTGCCCAAATTTGATGTTGATTCCATTTGAAATGACGTAACAGTATCGTCGTAGGTCAAATTGTAGATTTGCGACTCCAAGTTTCCTCACCATATATCTGATATATGGGACGGAATATAAAAAACGATAATTGGTCAGAAACTAGCTGGGTGTGTACTTAGATGTGTCAGTATGACAGCAGATGCTGTTTAGTCCGTTTACGGTTGGATATCATGCTCAGCGACATCAGAAACGCTCCATATGGAAAAACGACAAAACTTTATGACGTCACTGTGACATCATCTTCAGAGCTACAACCACCAAACATTCCTCAAACGTTGCCTTGGTATTCATTTAAATTTTTAAACTATGCCAAGTTTCAAGTTCGTAGCTCATCCGGTTTCGGAGATATTCAACAAAACGTAAAGGGGGATGCAACTTCATGCCCCCGCCCCCAGCGGCTCGCGGGCTACTCATATATCACTTAACCCTCGCATGTGTAGGGGGACCCCCTCGCATGTGTAGGTCGGATGGACCCCCCATGGTTTTTCACGAATAACTCGCGTAAAAAGCGGCCGATCGCGACGAAACTTTCAGTACCCTCGCATTGATCAATTTTACACCTACCCTGAAAATTTCATGACCCTGACCCAAATGACCTTTGACCTGTGACCTCTTTTCCGAGACCATGTTTGGCCGGAATCGCGTTTCCGCGTATGTCGGCTCGCATTAGCCGCGCGTTTGCAGTCTTTTCGTGGTTTTCACACGTTCAAACATGTGATTTGATGTTGCTCCCATGCATTAGGGTGGGTGTCAAGGTCACCTGAAGGTCAGGTCATTGACCTTTGGTGACCTCGGTTCACTTTTTCGAGTTTCTTTCTTTTGACTTCGTAACATGTTACGAAGCTGTCAGAGGCGGTTGACACGTACTACGAATACCCGTCACGACGCCTACTGGTTGACCTGAACTGACCTGACCCGACCTGGTCTAAATGCTTAAAGACATCATCTGTGATCAAAACTAGCACGATATTCGTGATCTGCACCCCGAAAACCCCCTTAGCAGCCACACTTTACGACATTCTAACAGGTCCCGATTTTCCCGACTTTGGGTCATTGACCTGACCTGGAAGGTCAACCAATGACGTAGGACCTTAAAATTGGGTATCATCGGCTTCCTCTCGTCACGGGCAACACACTCGTTTTTTTCCGCGAAGCTCTAGCTCGATCAGGGGCCAAACGGCAAGGGGGGGTCCGACCCCCCCCCCCTACACATTAGAAGCTGGCAAACGCCGCACACATGCGAGGGTTAAACATATCCGAGAACATTTTTCTCACGACTTTTCACACATTTTCTCACAACCATGCAGGTCCAGAGATCGAACCACGTTAAAGTGATTCAGGCGCTTTATCTCCGTTCTTTCTTAGGTTTGTCAGACTATAGGCAAGTCTCTCAAAAAAAAAACTAAACGCGTGTTGGTGGTACCTATCTGGAAGCTCAATCTTTTCTTTGCAAAGCGTGTCTAAATCGGTAATAAAATTTGCAGCACGTCCGTATATTCTTTTACTATAATGAAAACCCAATAATCGTATCATACCTTGCCGATGCTCGCCAGCCTCTCAACGTGTGCGTCCACGTCTTCCTTGCTGGCAATGCATGAGCCGTCGTGGTAAGGTCGCCTGTCCGTGTCTCCACCAGCAGATTTAAAACGGTAGAGCTTTCCATTGCCGTCCACGTGAACGCACATAGGCTTGGGTCCACAAGCATGGCACTGGAAGTCTTCATGTCCAACGACACGCCTGGCCTCAAACACCATGTACGACCATTCAGAGTAGGCCTTCTGGAAACGTTCCGGATCCACTGGTGCACACTGCAAGAAAATACAGGGATAGGCCAAACCGTGGCGTCAGTTAAAAAGGCATAAAGTAATGCATATTGCATAACTACCATGAACAGAATCGCTGACTCGATTCGAAAATTGGTAGCAGTGAAAAACGAACTTTTCCCAATTTCTTTGACACTTAATGCCTTCGTACGGACATCGGGTGCTAACTGCCACGAGTGACGTCATCATATTATGCTCATTTTTTAAGATACGATTTTCATCCATTAACCGAACACGATTTGAAATAAGGTATTTTAGCGGCGATAAAAATTTAGTCAGACGGTAAATTTGTCAAAGCTAATGTAAGAGCCTCGATGATGAACTTGGAGCCAAACGTCTTTGAACAAAAATATGGCGGTCGATAGGACGTAATGGCCTGTGTTTAGTCCCGTTATTCTCCGGCGCCGGATCGCTGTAAGTGCCGCAGATCATACGATCAGAGACAAATAATATCATCCCATGAACACATCTTGGGCGAAGGCTATGAGCGAGCATAATGGTGAGCGCCACAGATTGTCCGTGTCTCGTCCCACGATAATGGACTTACCGTTCCACCGAGCTGGCCCATTTTCTCTAGAGACATGGCAAAAGCAGCTAGTGATGTTCCAGGTGAGAGGCTCTTCAGGTTTCTCCAGAGGTGGAATACTTCCAAGGAGAATATGGTGGAGGTATGACAAGGCGTGCCTCTGAAGTAGCCGCTGGCCATGAAGTCGGCGTCCAATGGGTTTTGACGATTGTTGCACGCCTCACACACCCAGACAGGCAGGTTGAGATCCAACCGCCCTGGAACAAAACAATTACGTCAGGCTGAAGCGTACTGCTAAAAGACATGCTACTGAGAAAAAAAGCATGGCAATAGGCAGGACATATTTGAAATATACTCGTATGCCAATTAGACAAATGAAGAAGCTGCAAATGACACATGCACATGTACTTGTCTTGAGCTAGGATACCCACAAATTTTAGTTCCCATTTGCGAGCAATAACCTGCGCCTTGCTAGGGGAGGGGGGACGGGATTGAACACCCCCAGCAGTTTTTCACGAATATCTTTAAAAAAAAACCGGAACACCTCAATACAAGTCAATTCTATATACGTTATGAAAACTTCAGACCAAAGTCATTTAAGGTCAGGTCACCTGGTCACTTCGAGTGACCTCACCTAATTAAAAAGTATCTGTGGTGGTCTTTGTTTGGCGCTACATGGTATAACATTGATAAAAATTGAGTTTGAAAATTTGACGTCATTAATTTTGAAGTTTTCTTTCGCTATAGGCCAACAAAAGAGGTATCGATCTCGCAATATGGCAATTATAGTGACAAACGATGTGACAAACCTCGCTCGGTGATGACAATGATGTCACTCGTCGATATCCCCCTAAGGTCGAAGGAGCCGCCACAAATGTCGCAGCTCGAGCAGCATTGCAATGGAATACTGCAGGCTGCAAGAAGAAAACATCCCAAATAAGCATAAAAAGAATTCCACAAGAACTGAAAAAAAATGAAGCCATAGGACAACATGATCATGACAAACACGTATGCATTATCTTACCATCGCCTGGGTGAAGGGGGAGGCGATTTTGGCCATGCCTACCTGCCTCGCGCAGCCTGCTGTGGCAGAATGAATTCATTTTCTGTACGGTGTATTAACCCGCACCCCGTAGGGCTATCGGCGGGCCCTACCACCCGTAGGGGGGGGGGGGGGCAAGATAACGGAAAGTTACGGGCCCATTTTCAAAATTCAAAAGGTGTTCGATAGCCCCACCAGAGAACTACTTTGTGTCCCATTGACCAATGATCAATGGCCTCGATCCAACTGATGACATTACAGGTCAGGTCAATGGTCGAATGTTCACCGTTACAGACATTTCATTTTTTGTAAAATCCAGTAATAGGCATTCTATTGAAAGCCCTTGATTGGTAATTGTTTGTCAAACACATATTTTGCTATTTGAGATCACTGATACCAGAAAGGTCACAATATGATAGTATCGTGTGATACATGCTTCATGATCCATTTTACATGACATATGCGATTTTGTCGGTTAGGCAGCCTTGGAGGACAGTTTAGGTTACGTTCTCGTGAAAGTTAGGTCAAGTTCAGGGCAACTTTGGTCCAATTTCAAAGTCCATAGTTTTGCATGAATGAAATGAATGAAATGGGCATCGACTCGATGCACCTTGTCACCATGTTTTGAATTTATACCATCATCGCATAAAAATAATTTACGATTACTCCAAATAATTAATCTAGTCCAATAGTTCAACGTCCAGCCCGGAGCAGAGGGCTGAGGGGTGGAGAGGAACCTGACTATCCTGAGGATGGAAAAGAGGGAACAGTGTAAAGGTTCCAGTAACAGTAATTAAATTTTTAGAATGATTTTTTTATAGACTGTGGCTAGGTTTGTTTTAGGGAAAGACACAAAATGTCAGCATCTTATTTCAGTCCAGTTTCTGATACATATACTTTAAAAAACCACAAGGTGTATGAAAAAAGTTAATAATCCCCTTCGACCGCCACTCAACTATTTCGATATGGTTTATTATGAAAAACGCCTTAACCCGCGAGTTGCTGGGGGGGGGGGGCGTTAAACGCCCCCACTTTTTTCGCCGGGCCATAGCATAAAAACGCAAATTTTGGGTACCTGTAGGGAATTGATTGAAGTTTATTGTGACAAAGTTTCAAAAAACTCGGTCGGAAAATTTTTGAGATATCGAGGTTTTAGTGACATCATGATTTCTGAGTTTTCGACCAAAAACGGCATATGTTCAAAAAATCATATAAAATCACAGAATAGACATACAGACATGCCGTAAACGCCATTAGACTGCCAATACCATGATCAATCAAATGGCTATCTTCGATTATTGATTATCGTTCCGCATTTTCCATAATCTTGAACTGAATCTTGGCAATTTTTCGTGACTACTTCACGACCATGATAAATGCATTTCTTAAATTGAACTTTTTGAGCCAAACACGTACACATATGATAAAATGAATATCACCATCGTGTTGAAGTTCTACGCCCCAAATTACCTATAAAACATGTGTCACAGGCTGCGAGTATCAGTTTTGATTTTCGGGGATATGTGCCTACCCGGTTGACCTGACCTTGACCCTGACCTATGCTTGACTGACCCCTACATGGAGCTGACACTCTTGTAGGCCTTATATGATGGATTGTGCACCGTTTAGACAGAGTTTATGACGAGAGGCGCCCATTGCGAAGTCCTGAAGTCCATGCTACTGAAAGTCCGATTTCAGGTGTTTGACCTGACCTTAACCCGACCTGTGACCTCAAAATTCAACTTTAAAGTACTCATCTGAAGCGTCTCGTCGCGCTCTTTCGTTTGCCGCCTCGTGCGTTTCGCTGCGCCTATTGGTTCTCAAGTTATCGGCTGGGGGCGTTTAACGCCGCCCCCCCCCCCCCAGCAAACGGTGGGTAGCGAAATACCCCAGCAACTGCCGGGTTAAAAGTTACCAGTCCATGGTGTGGATGGAAACAATTTAGCTGCAATACAATCTGTGCAACTAACTTAATTGCGGTCCAGATGGTGTTGTTAAAACGAGCAAATAGGACCCACCTTTCTTGACAAGTTCTCCCGTCTCTGTAACGGCCTCCTGGGGTTTGAGCGGCATCAGGTATCCCTGTGTCCAGGCCAATCGGCGATGGAGAGGCTTCCACTGGTGCTCATTGACATCACAGCTTTCACAGCTGAACGTCTTGTCGCAGTCCAGGCACAAGCTCGTGGCCGGTTGACCACAGTGAAGACAAACCGCTGAAAGAAAATCGAACTGACGTTGGTAGACGGTATGCTTGAGCGAACAGTTCTATCGTTACCGTCATCGCAATGCCAAATCACAAACAACATACGAGTTTACAAATCCGGGACGTACTTTCGCTGGCAGCTAGTAAGACAGTTCCGAGGCTTCGAGTGGTTCCATGACGCTCGTAGAGACTAGCTCGGCGGTCACGTTACGAACCATGTCACTCGCTCGAGGGTTTAGGGGTGCTCTCAGGCGCGTTGATCCACGAGGACCTCCAAGTACACGGTAGTAAATTCAGTTTAACATGTCTTGTCGCCCTATATCACGTCGGAGTCACCAATGTCGGTCACCAACTATGAGTCGCGCTGGCTGTACCGAAGTCGGAGGGTCTGAGGCAGTCAATCTATCCTTGATCTGTGACTGATCTGTTAAGAGTCCGTCCGAGAGCCGTACGACGGCCGACAGAGCCTGGTGGTCGCGGACTGGTGCGGTAACCGTTACGTCCACCTGGGACGCCCAAGACGGTTCGGCACTTGTGGCGTCGAAACCGGACTTGCGTTCATAATATACCGTAAAGTGGGACTATTTGAGACAGTGGGGCTATTCGAGACAGTATTTAAAATCGCTATAAAATGAAGAGCGTTTGAGTTTTAGGTAATATTTTTGCTCAGGAACTAGGAAGGTGCGGAATCGAGCAGTAAATCGCCTGAGCAAAATTTAAGCATAAATTCCAAACGGTTTTTATTTTATACCAATTTTGAATATTGTCTCAAATAGCCCCACTGTCTTTGCAAATAGCCCCACCTTACGGTACTCACTTATCGAGCGACCCTGCATGCCTCCACAGAAAGAATCGTTCACAAAAAAAAATCAAATATAAATAGAATATGCGCACCAGCCGCACAGATCGAATCGTCCTAAAAAAGGAAGTCACACCATCCAAAAATTTACTGTCACTTACAGTACCTATTTTTTCAATAAATGGCAATTTAATCCACTAATAAACGATTTATGCTTACCACTGTTGGGCACAGCCTTCGCATGGAAGTACTGTTGAAACCGCTCATTCCGCTCAGCTTCCCAGTGACGCGCTTCAGCGTCACATCGGTTGCTCCAGGAACTTCCGGTAGAACCTTGATGGTTTGACTCTTCAGTTGCGCATAGCTCCTCTGTAAAATCATTATTCAGTCATAATTTGAGCCCTTCAATCACATCTTACATCCCTATAGCGAGGAACGGACAGGAAGGTACGGTAAGGTAATTAAGGTAATTGAGATGAGCCGTTTCAGCAAATACGTCTAAAAAATATACATAGAAAAACTTCATTGACCCTGGTCCAATAACCGCTCTTTTAAAGGCACCCTCCCACCTTCAAAAAGTTAATGAATTGGCATAAAAGTGGTGTCCCTTGGTTCAGATTGAGCAAAAATGAATATCTACCGAATTTCAATGAAAAATATAAACCAGTTTTTGAGATATTAAACAATTACTTCTGTTTATTTTTCGGAACCTTCGCTGTTCCTACGACGTCATTTGGAAGCGATTATTTGGTTTCTTAAAATGTGCGGCATTTGTGGCAGATGTTGCGCGCAAATAGCATATACCACCACTGCTTCACAAAGATGTTAGTAGGTATAAGGTTTCAAAATCGCTAGATCTGTGCTGACGTCACAAATTCAGAAGGGGCATTCAAATGCATAAGCCCCTCTGAATCCCAAGTGCAGCAACTTTGAAATTAAATATCTCCAAATTAAAGCCTTTCTGGATGTTGTGAGTGCCCAAACCGGACCGGAAGTGCGAGCCAGGGACTCCAATTTAGCTACCTCAACTCAAAACTAATGTTAAGATGGGTTGGTCACTTTAATATAATACACCTTTTTGCTTACCTGCTGAAGTATCGATGTGTGCAGCACCAAAATCTCCTTCAGCATCTCCGTTTTCATGTTCTTGACGTTGGTCCTCCGATCGACGCTTTGCAACTGTCAACAAAAAACAAGCAGGCACAAATTGTAAACCAGTAAAACGCCTTTCGGGCGACAAACAAGCGAGCGAGAGAGTGAGTCCTAAAGGTGCAGAAGGGCGAGATGGTATTTGCGGTGCGACTGACTTCAGTACTGCACCATTCTAACCGGTCATTATTGTGCCAACTTGATGGCAATCGACTCAACCGTTCCCGAGATTTGGAAGCGGCAACCTGAGTGACTTGACTTACCAGTTTAGCGCTAAAAATTCCCACTAAATTCTAAAATTCTACATCCACTTTGATTTGGTTCAGCGCTTCCCACTTTAAAATTTCAATACCCCTCCCACTAGAACACGTGCAGAGCTTACGCTCTCGCTCATTTGTAGTCTCCTAAAAGTGTTTCACTGCGTCTTCAGGTATACAAGGCCCGGTGTAGAACTGGTATATAGTTTCCCATAGTACTGCTTGTTTCACTCATTGAATCAGAATCAAAAAAGCAAAGTTTAAAAACTATCCGCCACCTTATACACCACTTGCTCATGAAAAAAGAGTTGTCGTGGATGGCTTAACCTTTTTGATTATTATTTTTTAATAACCGAGATTAAAATTCAATTTTATTTCATGAATGCTGTACTGCTGTAACGCTGTACTGAAAGGCTGTACTGAAAGAGCCAAACTAGAAAAGAAATCCCTAGTGGGTAAGGGTCATTCAGCACCCAAATTTCCACTCCTACTTCACTACGTTCTCATCTTAGAGAAAGGCTTCTCAAGCTGAGCACTTATTGATCACTGCATTCAATACCTACCCTTATTATTCAACACTTTCTGTGGTATTGAGACGTTAATAAATGACTAGCAATGACATTAAAGAGCCTAGCAAGACAAACAAATGCTAGTCATCAGCACATAGGCACAGTCACAGAGCTTATGTATTCATAACACTTTCGTCTCTTGCTTAACTAGAAAACGCTAATTACATTACATACCTGGCGTTCCTTGCCTCCTCGGAGTTCTCCTCGATGCAGTGGTCGCTTTCTTTCCCTTTCCATTCCCCAAATGGCATAGGTACCTCCTCCGTTTCTTAACGGGTGAAACTGCAGTCATATCAAATTCTTCAAACAAAGAAGAATCTGAATCTGAAAAACACAAGGGTAAAATAAGGATAAGGTTATCACGGGCACATTCAACTAATTGAGGTTACTTTGCTTGTTAATTGGGGCTTTAAGGGGCGCCAACTACTTAGGTCATTTTGCGCCCATAACGTCGTAATTTTGAGGTTGAGGTTACTTGTTACGGAGCGAGCAGTCTTTCCGAAAATTCTGAGTGTGAGCAGCTGGCCGGCCAATTGCAATATCTCGGCAACTACAGGGCCGATTGCGCAGAAAGGTGGCATGGAGGTAGGCATCCAGACCCACTGGCAATGCATTTCCCTGTGCCACAGTTAGGGTCATGGCGGGGGTGCTGTTGCACGTGCGCAAGTGCAAAGGTCGATTCCAGATCTCATGCACGGCTGGACTAATTGTGCTCAAATGTGGTACTCTGTTAGGGACCGGTTAGTAGGGTGCCATGCAAAACTCATTTGGGACCCAGATAACACACGTCTTAAGTTCTGGGTTCCCTTATTCTCCTTGCCATCCTTTCCTGCTTTTATGTTTCTGGCACCAGGAACCAAACCAAGTGAGACCAGGTTAGATAACTGAAGAAGGCAATCCCATGACAAAACATACCACAAATCACTGGGTAGATACCAGTGGCATATCCGGGGGGGGGGGGGTCCTGGGGACCCCGTGGAGCCTAGAATTTTTTTTTTAACTCGGAAAAAATGAAATGACTTTGAGGGCCCTTTTTACCACTTCCCTTTTTTTGCATACTGAAAAAGTTTTAGGGAACTCTTTTAGGGACCATTTGAGGACTATCAGAGGGCACCTTTTGGCCAATGAGGGACCTTGTGAAGTAAACATAGGGCTCTTTGGAACGAACAGGATCCTCTCAGGCACACAGAGAGCCCTCTCAGGCACAGAGGGCCCTCTCAGGCACACTGAGGGCTCTCTCAGGCACACTGAGGGCTCTCTCAGGCACAGAGGGCCCTGACAGGCATACAGAGGGCCCTCTCAGACACACAGAGGGCCCTCTCAAGCCACAGAGGGCCCTTTAAGACGAACAGAAGGCCCCATGCAGTATCCGAACAATTTTCAGGCCAAAAGGTGTCGTATGAGGCCAACAGACGGTCCTCTTAGATCAAAGGTGGTCCCTGGAGGTCAACAGAGGGCCCTCTGAGGTGAACAAAAAGTCCTCTCAGCCACCTCAAATAGGGCCCTTTGAGATCAAAGAGGGTCCTCTAAGGCGAATAGAGGGCCTTCAAAGGCCACAGCCCCTCTGAGATCAGAAAGGGTCCTTGGAGGTCATCAGAGGGCTCCTTCAGGCGAATATATGGTCCTTTTAGGCAAACAGAGGGCCCTCTTACCTAGGCAAACAGAGGCCAGAGGGCCCCCTTAGACACCACAAGGAGGTAAAAAGGATCAATCTGAGGTCAAAGACAGCTATCTGAGATTAAATAGGGCCTTTTGGGGCCTCAGAGCTGGCCCTCTGATACGTAAGCATAAAAAGGGTCCTCTCACCTCTGAGGTCACCAAAGGGCCATCTGAGGCGAACAGAGGGCCCTCTAAGGCGAACAGAGGGCCCTCTAAGGCGAACAGAGGGCCCTCTTAGGCGAATCAAGGGCCCTCTGAGGCGAACAGTGGGCCCTCTGAGATCAAAAAGGGATCTCAGAGGCCACAGAGAGGCCCTCTGATGTCAAAATAGGACCCTCTGAAGTCCGAAGCCACCAGAGGGCCCTATGAGGCGAACAGAGGACCCTCTCATCTGCCTCAAAGAGGGCAGATGGCCAACGAAAGCCCTTATGAGCCCAACAAAGGGCCCTTTGGGACACAATCAGGGCCCTCTCAGGCACCTGGAGGGACCTCTTCTCTAAGGCAAACAGGGGGTCACCTTGGATGATATGAGGGCTATTTCAGGCCACCAGGGGCCTTATTAGACCAATAAACGGCCATCTGAAGTATAAGAGGACCCTTCGAGGTAAAAAAAGGGCCCCTGGAGAAAAAAAAAAAAACAGAGGACCCTATCAGGTACCTAGAGGGCCCTTGGGCACTAGAGGGCCCTTTGAAGCCAGTGATAGTCTTCAGAGGGCACCAGAGGGTCCCTCTGAGGGTAACAGAGGGGTCCTTGACGAACAGGGACCCCCCCCCCCCCGTGAAAATGCAGTTGGTGTCACAAGGCCCGCATTGCATCAAAGATCAGGTACCTATGCCCAGTTTCAGCTCTCTGTTGCCGACGTGTTCCGAGATGTCGCAAAAAATATGTGGTAGCACCCGCGCCCCCCTCGTTCGGTCAGGGCTCTTCTAACTCGGCTTCTGGGCCACGTACCAGCACGCCAAAAGTAACCTTCGAAAGAGCTTACCTAAACAATAATTACGAAATTACTCTGGTCACTTTTTAGATCAGGTCAAAGGTCAGGTCACAGAGGTCATCAAAGGTCAAATTTCGCCAATTTTCAGGTCCAATTTAGGCAATTTTCAACAAACCATCGCGTAACTCGGAAATGAATAGAGCTACAGTGCCTAGGAAAAGCATAGTTAATAGCACTTTTAACACCCGTTTCGCCATTCACATCTTCAGGTCATTCAAATCCTTCTGCTTCTACCCACGCCACAACCCCTGTTCCGGGCTGGACGGGTAACTATTCCATGCGGGCGGCTCCCATTGTAGCGCACCACAGCTCATATGGGAGCACACCCGTAGCAGGGTGCATTGGGACTTTGGGGGCTGGTCGGCCTGTCCTGTTGGACGGGCTCAGCTCTGGTGAATCACTCAGGGATATAAACGGAGATCACAGGTGCCATATTCCACTTAATCGTGACATGGCTGCTCATATAACTGGGTGTTTAAGAGTGTTAAGAACAAAGCTCATGCAAGAGAGGTGCCTTTTAATTTTCTCCCATTAGCTTAATGGAGATTTCTCAAAACTGACCTGATCTTAGCTTAACACTATCAAAATTGAGATATACATTTTAAAAGAGTTACTGTTGTCCTCATTGATTGCTGAAAGTTTTAAAAGCAATATAATTGACCCCCCACAGCAGGGCGCGGGTTCAGTAGTGCAGGAACCAGGGGGTAGCAGAGGCTGAGCACCTCCAACTTTTTGGCTGGGGGGGGGGAGTGGCTCCGCTCATAATGTATTTGAGCCCATCCAACTGGAGGAATCGAAATCGGAAATCTACAGGCGCATAGGCGCAGGAACCAGGGGGTAGTGGGGGCAGCTTGCCCCAGAACTATGGGACCATAAGGGCGGTGCACCACAACTTTTCATATGGCCAGGAACCGTTGTGGCAGCTTGTCCTCCAGAAATTAGGGGTTGTGGGTCACAAAGGAAGAAAGCATGTAATAATCCACCTCTTTCACTGGCTCGGCAACTCATTTGGCAGATAAAAACCTTTATTCCAGCCTCCAGGCTGCCAAAACAGTAGATTCTTCACTCAGCTGAGATGGAATACCTCACTTTTTTCACAAATATTTTCGTTTTTTTCGTTAAAAAGGCCAAGATGTGAAAAATAAGTGACCTAATCCCAGTGAGAAAACTAGATTTGGCAGTGTACCAAAATCATATTTTTGCTTGGGTGTCAGAGGGGAAAATTGCTGACCAAAAAAAGGATGAGAGTGAAAAATTGTCGGTTAGGTAAGGCCCAAAAAGAGTGGGAAAATGATCAAAAACATTAATCTATCTACAATTGTGACAGATGTAAAACAACCATTCCCGCAATTGCTCCTTCTCGGCGGAATTGGGAGTGGAAAATTGGGCTTGAAAACTGGAGGTGAGAGTGGAAAATGATTTGCATTTGGATGTCGTTTCCCACCCACATCTACAAATTTTGGGACACTGAGATTTGGGGTACCCTAGGTTGATCTCTATTATGGTACATCCCCCCTGCCCCAGCCCGGATTCTGGAACAAGTTCATGCAGCGCACTGCGCAGCTAGCACCCTTTCAACTCAGACACTTAAGGCCCTTTCAACGCAGTCAATCAAGGGCCCTTTTGACTGCGCCCCCCCCCCCTCCCTCGAAGAAATCCTAGATACGCCAGTGGACACTGATAGGTACTTACCCATTGTTTCTTGCTGCTTCTCTTGCAAAAACAATGTTTAAATAGCCCTTCTCAATTCGAAAAAACAAACTTATTGAAGAAATGATCCTGGAGATCACGGAGAAACCACAACAAATTGAAATACAAGGCACGCAGGGCAGCATCGACCGTTACACACTGACACAAATCGGCAAAGAACGCTAACTCGCAGAAAGAGGTGCACTGCTAATGAATGCAGAAGCCAATCCCACGCCGTAAATGGCGTTAATTGTGTACCAACTGGTACCTGATGGTCATTATCTAATACAACTAAAATAACGGTAGTGAAGATGCCTTAATGATGAAAAAAGTCACCTATAGACAGTATATTACTTATATTTTTAACCACAATAACAACTCTATCAAGCGTAACTTCCGCGCTACAATTTCCTCACCACCTCGAGGAAAGTGCTGCCAGTTTCCTCCACGGGCAGAGGAAGATAGCCCGTTGTCTTCCTCCACAGGCAGAGGAAAATCTCTAGTGGGTATGTTGAGACTTCGATGAGTAACGAGAGATCAGCTGATTCAAAATATTATTGCAATGAGTAGAAAATACTTGATCAAAATTTTGTATCTTTCATCAATTATTTGTAAAAGAAAAATGTTTTGAGAGACAAAAATGATTATGCAATATCAGAGTTATGTAGTGTATTGTATTATGTTCCTGGGCAAGAAAAAATGAGTGTCATTTGCAAATATTGAAAATAACTATCCAAGGCATACTGCATGTTTCATTGCTTATCGGCACCATCTGAATGCATTATTACGTGCCAAGAGTATATTTTGAAAAACGCTAGGAAAAAATTATTACCAAGCAGTCGATCGTCGGACGTCGATCATAAGCAGCTTACGATGCAAAATGCAATATCATCTTCTACTGCATAACATACCATAAGTAACGCACAACATAATTGTAATGAATAAAATGACTGATGAAAATCCTTAAAAATGCCCTATACTTGCTAAACTTTACCATTTAGAGTATAATTTTAATTATACCGCAAGGCTCGCGCTCTAATGCCATGTCACAGCAGCTGACGTTTCTTACCGGCATGAGACAAATAATGCAGCTCTGCGCCAAAAGCAAAGTGTTCAAGACTTATAGCTTTAAGCTCAAAAGCAGAAATGATTCATAAGTTGCCTAGCAATTTGCTACTGTTGAAGGTTATCTTTTGTTTTGATAGCCAGTAACTAAGCAACTCATAATTCCTGATACCATTTTGAACAATATTTGGGCTGATTCAGATTGGTTTTGCTTTCCAGCCTGCGTGTCCTGCCAAACAGATTGTAGCAAAATAGATACCTAGTTGGGTTTTCTAAAATTAATGAAGTACCTAGGTATTTGTTTCGGTGAACACTGTTCACCATTATAATTGGCATCACAGTGAACTGCACTACTAAGTTTGTGTGTGGACATCTTAGAGACAAGTTTCTCAAGCGAGGCAATCGGACTTGTATGCTTATTGCTAATTGATACTGTAAATCTGGATACCTACCTATCTACTTATCTGTCACCATATCCTTGACAAGAACAATAAGTGAATATTCACAGCAAATATGCTGCAAATAAGTGACACACAAAGTAAGTAATTTATCCATTTCTATTTGTGTTAATTCATGTGCTACCTATTAATTTTTTATTGTTCAATGGCATTACATTTAGTAGGTATGTATAGTTCGTTTATTTAAGTTTGCCCCTCACTTTAAACGTCTTTTTGAACACAGTAGGAGAATTGCTAGCTGAATTATTGAGAAAACTGTTTGGCGCACATTGATTTGACCAGATTTCACACTCAATCAAGCTCATCAAATCTATTTACTATTTCACGGACTCAGCTCATATTTGTCAATACCTACAGCCCCACAGGGATAGACGACTTCTCAGGAATTATGTCTGAACTAATTAATACATTGCACGCCGTTTAACCCTCGCCCTGGCAGGGCATTTTTCATAACACGGCGTGGCAGGGGGGGTTGGTAGGTGGGCCCCCTGGAGTTCTCGCCCCTGTGCAAATTTGGTTGCTCTAGGACCTAGGTCAATATTTGGGGGGTTTTGGGGGTATAAATGTAAAAATTTCGCTAAAAACAGGTCAAACGTTTTTCGCTTATAACTTTTGATCTAATTAAGATAGAGAAAAAGAAAAGCACCAGTGAACTCAGCACGCCAAGGCGCGTCAAATGATCAATGAAGTCTAATGAAGTAAACCTTAATTAATTAATTGAGTTCAAGTTAACCAAATTGCATCATATCGCATATCATTCGATTCGGCTAATCACCAGGAACACAATGATACCATTTTTTAAGCTCTAGCTTCATTATATGCCAAGTTATTGGCAAAAATGTCATTTGACCTCAGTTGACCTCATTTGACCTGACCCATGGATAAGTACACCAAATAAAGAAGCACCAAGTGACCTGCTGTTAAGTACTGTGGTTTCAAAGCACAAAAGTGATAGAACGAAGCGGATATCTCCAGTATTTTCCGAATTTAGTATTTTCCCATTGGCTTAACGTGGGCTTAACATTACGACGTAATGACCTCTAACTGACCTCAGGTCAGTGACATAAAAAACCTGAACTATATGTTATACAACTCGGTGAACTTAGCACATCCTGAAAGTTTGAAGGAAATCAGTCAAAAACTGTGAGTTGGACAGGTGCAAAAAGAAAATTGAAATTTGACCATGACCTTGTACCGGTTTTTCTGACCTGGTGACCTGACCCAAGGTCACCCGGACCTGAAATTTTCAGGTCACAAGTAAAAAGGCTGCCCCATAGGCTGTGCCAAATTTGGCAGCGCTTACGCTATCTTCGAAAAACCTTAGGGGGGTTGCATCACCCCCCACCCCTGCCAGGGCGAAGGTTAACATAACGTTACATCATCGGTGTTCAAAACTTATTTTGAAAATATCATATCTCCAATACAATGTGCTCTAACCAGTTTTCTCAGTCATTGAGCTAGCAATTCTCGTGCTGTGTTCAAAGAGACATTTACTGTGAGGGGCAAACTTAAAATAAATGAACTATACCTAATTACCCAAGACAACTAAGCAGACTTGTGCATGGATTTGAGATAGGTACCAAGCACAAATATTGAGAGTCGCTGAATTAATGGTAGGTGATTTCCTTTTCGCACCCCTTAAAAACCAAAGAAATTTACAAAACAAAAAGATAAAAAGAAAGCATAGATAGTTCTAAGGTTGAAAAGCGATACCACACATTGATACTTATGATACTTTTTACACAAAACATTTATGAATTACACCCAACCATGCATTGTGTCAGGTACAGGTAGAGTCTAAGAGTTATGGGTAGTCGTATAGCATGCGTCACACTTCCGTGTATATGGCTGGAGGTAGTGTGACAGGCTGTGACGTTGAGACTGGCGCTAGTGTCTTAGCAATAACAGTTACATTACATCACGAATATACAGTCTGTCTTAAAAGTGCCGCGCAAAGTGACGGTGTATTCATCAAGCCTGACCGAGGGAGGGCCTGCGATAATTTGAAAATCACCCAACCAATTGTGACCTGGGGAATGCCGGACGAGGATGTCAGTTGCTTCGGTGGCTCAAATTTAGCAGGCCCTTCCTCGGATCCACCGTTACTTTGCGCGATACTTTTAAGGCCGTCCTACACTGGACCTCGCATGCGGGTTGCGAGTTTTGGGTTTTCGGGTTTCTTCAAAAGTAAATAATACAATCTAAGCTGAGTGACCCACACTACCATCTAACAAGCGATTCTGCATGTTTTTAGCTTGCGAACGACCTTGCATCACATTCCAAAAGTTGATTTTGAGTCAACTTTCGATTTTCCTCGCTGCGAGGTCTGCGAGTTCTGCGAGGTTTGCGGTTTTTTCGTTGGAGTCGAATTTTGGTTCGTTGTGCTGGTATTGCGACTATATGTAATTTTCTGAAGGTGTGCCGGCTTCACTGCATTCATGAAGTTACCATAAGGGAGCGGTCTAATCACTATGAATTGGTATTATGCCCACAAACTCAAAACCCGCAAACTCACAACCCGCATGCGAGGTCCAGTGTGGGGCGGCCTTTAAGACAGACTACTATCGATGAGTGTTTTTTTTTATCGATGAAGGAGGGATTACTGGGCATGACAACTACAGCGGGACATAGTGGGATTCGTCCAGTTCCAGCAGAACACAGTGGGATTCAGCCGGTCCCAGCGGGACACAATGTGACTCGGTCGGTCCCACCGGGACAAAGTGGGACTCAGCCGAATACTGCGGAATATAGTTGCCTGGGACTCAGCCGGTTCCAGCGGGACCGGATCCAGTAGTCGGCTGAGTCCCACTTTGTCCGCTGGGACAGGCAGAGTCCCACTATGTCCCGCTGTAGTCGGCTGAGACCCACGATGTTCCGCTGAAGTCGGCTGAGTACCAATTTGTCCCGCTGTAGTTGGCTGAGTCTCAATTGGTCCCGCAGTAGCCGGCTGAGTCCCACTTTGTCGCGCTGGGACAGGCTGAGTCCCATTGTGTCCCGCTGGGACCGGCTGAATCCCACTATGTCCCGCAGTAGTCGGCTGAGTCCCATTATGTCCCGCTGGGACAGGCCGAGTCCCACTTTGTCCCGCTGTAGTCGGCCGAGTCCCACTATGTCCCGCTGAGGTCGGCTGAGTCCCGCTTTATCCCGCTGGGACCGGCTGAGTCCCACTATGTCCCACAGTAGTCGACTGAGTCCCACTTTAGTCGGGAAATCGGGACCCGCTAGAACTTCGTAAAGTGAGGTTGTTATGCGTTTTTTTCGGGTTGCTGATCACTGATTTTATGTTAGGTACTTTGAATCACGGATGATGTCTTTATGCTTTTAGGTCTAGTCAGGTCAGGTCAGGTCAACCAGTAGGCGTCCTGCCGGCGATCCATAGTAGGTGTCAACGTCAACCACCACTGACTGTCTCGAAACATATTGCTCATAATACGAGATGAGCGGTGGGAGAGGCATGATGCCTTTGCGATATTTTCCGCTATGTTGCTGACTGTTGACCTGCTGGACCTGTCGTGACCGGTCAGACGGTGGCTGTCGCCGTGTTGCCGGGCGCCGTCGGTGTCCTCCGAGCTCCCGATATCGGCTCCGACCTGCCGTATCAGTCGTGACGACAGATCGTACCGCCCGGGGGTGCGGTCCGCGGCTGTCTGCTTGTCCCGTGATCCATGAGGGCGCCTTCAGAGAGCGGCAGCGGTCGCTCTTCTCCTAACCCTCGTGGAACCGGACGCTGGCAGTGTTCCACCGTGCAGAGCTCGATTCATTGGAGGACCTAGCGCAGGACTGTCCGTAGGCATCGTAAGAGTCTATACCGAGCCTTCCAAAGTTGAAGCCACCGTCGCTATTATCATTAGGGACCCTGTATATGGAATGCGTATGCCTTCAAAAAAGGGCGAAGAGGCCTTTTTTACGAGTTTCACTTAGCGTTGGGCTGAGTCCGGAGACATTTGATTAAATCGATACTAAAGCGGTTTGATCAGAAATTGGTTTATCCAAACGCAATGACCTGTTTAGTGCGGGATCATCGTTCAAGTGCTGATAACCGTTCAAAGCCAGAGTTTAAAGTTCTTGTTCCCGTCGCCCCGACCCGCGGTCGTCTCTCCCGGGCAAAGGACAAGATGCAGCGACTTGTCGCGCCGACTTCTCGCCCTCCGGACCCCCCCCCCCCCCCGCAGCCCAGCGGAGGGGCTCAGTCGCCGCCGGCCGGTCAGCGAGTGCGTCACGGCACAAGTGTCTCTGTCGTCTGCGGCGGCAGTGCGTGGTGCGCGGAGACTGGGCGGAGGCCGAACTGACCGTGACCCGCTCACGGCGCCGTGCGAACGGCCGCCCCGGCACGGGTGTGGCAACAGGCGCCTGCTGCGCGACCGCCCGACTGCCGGCTAGGCGCCGCGGGGACTCGGCTGGGTGACGGTGGAGAGACCCAACGGCGAACCCGAGCCGTCAAGAATAGGTGCAGACGGAGGTTTTAGCCAAGATTGTGTGCCACATTCTTAGCTGTTGGTAGCCTGTGGCTATTGAGGGATCAAGAGCCGCTCGCTCTTAGCCAAGAATCGCGAAGTGTGAATCTATTCAACTGGGTATCCGAGAGTTGTGGACATTGAACCCGTGGTGACGGAGTGACCGATAGTTGTGAACTCGTGCCGACCAAGTGGCCAAGAACCGGCAGTCTCAACTTACAGGCTGGCCGATCGTGAATCCGTCCGAACGTAGTGTCTGAGAAGTGAGACCCGACCTTGTGGAGTGTCTGACAGTTTAGGAACCCTGCTCAACTGCCGTGACTGAGCCGTCCGCCCGTGCCGCCGGAAAAGTGCGTCAGGCGGCGGCCGGTAGCCGCCCGCCCACCACTGAAACTCACCGCTGCACTACTGTCTACCGTCTGTCTGACTTCACTGACGGCGGTGTTGCCGCCCGCGCCGGTCCAAAATGTTCCACGTGGTCACCATGGCAGAGGGTAGGCGGATGGAGAGGAGAGGAGAGGACGGGGAGAGCGATGGAAGGAGGGCTCAGGGCGTGGAGGGGGGGGGGGGGGAAGAGGGCGGCAGGCCGTGGCTGAGGCTAAAGCCTGAAACAGACTCTTTCCGCAGTCAGGAAATTGCATGCGAGAGCCTATTCAAATACATGGAAGCACACTCGCATCAATCGCACGCACCTCCCGCAAGCGATTGATGCGAGAAAAATTACAATGTATTTGAATAGGCTCTCGCATGCGATTTCCTGAACGCGGAAAGAGTCTGTTTCAGCCTTAACCGAGGTAGGGTGCTGTATATCGGTCAACGGGTCTGCGGGTCCGCTGCAATGATCGCGTGTTCACGACGTTTTGGTCCAAATAACATAGTCAGCTATCCATGTGCGGTTTTTCTACTTACCATTTTATCGATTTTCCTTTCCAAATGCCGACTTCTGCGTCTTGAAATATGTGTCGCCCTTTTGAACTCTGATGCATGTTGGTCTAGTGTTGATCACTTAGCTTGGACGAGTGAATTTCCTTGACATATTTGATCGTTTTTCCACACACTTCCACACTGTCAACGCGAGGCTCACTGGTTTATTTAGAACAAATGAGAGTGACTTGGTGCGCCGTGCGTTCTGAGGGATGTTTACATTTGCCTGGCACTGGACTATTATAGGTCAATCGACTCAAGGTTACTGGGTCGACAGTTGAATAGGGTGCAAGTGCGCTTGATGTGAATCTTGAGGAAGGCCTAGCTCTGTGCCTTTGTTAGTTTTAATTGAAATTTACACAATTAATCGCTGAGATAAACGATCCTGAAAGACAACCTCACCCGATCCTGTTTTTACCCGGGGTAAAATGATTTTACAATGTTGTTGATATTCGCCGTTAAAATTATCTTTGATGTCAAGTATCTTTTCGCGATTTTGACGCAAGGGTCACTTTCACGATCCCGTACGGGGCAGCGAAAGTACTAAATCCAAACAACCAAACTGTCCCGTACTCTTTGCCACACGATTTATGTTTGTCAACTGTGTTTGTTACCCATTTCCACAACAATTTGTCACGTGCATAACACATATTACCACCCGTGGGCTGCATGCCATCAGTGTGCTTGCTGTTCTCTCGCAGATCGGACCTAGTGACAGCCTACACGCTCTGTCTGTTACAGAGATCGGCATAGGCCTGGTGGGGTTCGGCGTGGCGTTCCTCTTCCTCGGAGTGCTCTTTCTGTTCGATAAAGGCCTGCTGGCTATCGGGAATGTGAGTATTCGGTCGAGTGACACTGATCTGAGGAGCTTTGAGAGCCGTTCTATGTGTTCAGAATTATGAGTAGAGACGGTTCAAGCTTCACATTTAATTAATATCTCGTATTGTGTTGTTGATTATGGAGTCTCTCCTCTTGCGAATACGAACACCTGTGGGTAAATGGATGATAATGTTGGACATTTTACATATTTGGTGGAAAATTTTACGCTTTTTGTTGTGTGTAGAAAGTTTTATTTGTGTAGAAACGGGAAGGGTGCATCACAATCGCAATCGCATAGGTAGGTACTTAAGCTTTCGATTTCACCGATAGATGGCACTAGTGGTAAACGCCGGAAGGTATGCTGTACCGCAGTGCTTGTGGCTTCGTCTGGCTTCGTCTGGGCGGTCCAGAAAAACGCTGGAGGGCGTAGATGTGCGTCGCTTAAAGCTAGATAAAACTTGTTGATAAGCTCTAGCTTATTATTCAATGCAATCTGGTGACAATAGTATGATTCTGACCATTGTATCGGCTCTCCGTTTCAGATTCTGTTCCTGTCGGGCCTGGCGTTTGTGATCGGTCTGGAGCGGACGTTTCGCTTCTTCTTCCAGTCGCACAAGGTGCGCGGCACCGCCTCCTTCTTCGGCGGCATCCTCGTGGTCCTCATAGGGTGGCCGCTGGTCGGCATGATCATCGAACTGTACGGCTTCGTCGTCCTCTTCAGGTGGGTACCGCAGGCTGCGGTCCGTCTGCCCGCGGCACCATCTTATGTGTGGTGGTCAGGAGAGGGGATGATGCCCGATATCACTATAGCGATTCTCGGGTAGGCGTTATTTTTGTGAGCATTTTGCATTAGGCATGACAATCTGGCGTTGAGTTGTACAAATTTACGTCGACTTTTATTTTGTTGATCTAACCGATAAGGTTAGATAATGTCAATACCGATACGGCTCATAGCATAATGTCTTGCCTTCAGTAAGCAAGTAACTGTTTGTTTTTCATTCTGTTTGTACATAAAAAAGAAGTGTTTTCTTTCTGGAGACCGATCCCTAGTATATATTTGTCAATGAGAATAAACATTTTAAAGTAAAAAAAAAAAAAGAAAAATAGGGCGCATTATGTATGCGATGCAAACGAATTTCATATTCTGACGTCTGGTATCCTTTTTCAGCGGCTTCTTCCCAGTTGTTATAAACTTTTTGCGACGAATTCCTGTGATAGGTTCATTTCTGAATCTCCCTGTGATCGGCCCGGTAAGTGAACCTTGTGATGAATTGTTTTGATATTGCATGATTCATAGGATGTCATGCTTTCTTTCTATCGACTAGTATAACGCCTTTTGGGGCGACTAACGGAGCGAGCGAGAGGGTGAGCCTTGCACGTGCGAAATTTCGAGGGGGTACCCCCAGCTGACTTGTGCACGGCACCCTACTAACCGGTCTCTAGCGATGTGCCAAATTTGAGCACAATCGGCCCAGCCGTTCTCGAGATCTGGAAGCGGCACCCTGCACGTGCGCACGTGCAAAATGGGTCCCAACTGACTTTTGCACGGCACCCTACTAACCGGTCCCTAGCCATGTACCAAATTTGAGCGCCATCGGTCCAGCCGTTCTCGAGATCTGGAATCGACCCCTGCACGTGCGCACGTGCAGCAGCACCCCAACCCCGGCACATGGATGTGCATTGCCTAGTGGATGCCTACCTGCATGCCAACTTTCAGCGCAATCGGCCAAGTAGTTACCGAGATATTGCAACAATTACAAAAGTGACACCTCTTCGTTTTGCACGTGGCACGTGCATAAGGGGTCACCCACATGCATTGGGAATAGTCCAATACTTGGTAGAAGGAATGAAGCTACCCTACAAAAATTACCGCATGTAAATCGGTCAAGTGGTTGCTGAGATATAAGCGTCGCAGAATCGTGACCACGGCCGGCCGGCCGGCCGCTCATACTCAGAAATTTCCGTTATTCTACGTAAGCTTCCGCTCGCTTCGCTCGCTCCGTAATAATGTTATGGTTTTGTATTGTGAAATGTGTATATCATCCGGTTTTGCCAAAACACGACTTGTGGTTTAAAAGGTGCACGTTCTTTAAATTTCCTGCCCTTAACGTTGAACAAAATCGGGTATGCTGCTCAAAGCTCACAGCTCACTCAGAGCTTCTTACGTCTTCATGAGATCACTCGGGTCGCCCCGCGACCAATCGTTGACGGACGGCATTCATTGCAGTTCCTGGACAAAATGTCGGGTGATCCGTCACGGCAAATGGTGTGAGGGTGAAGGTGCTGTGTGGAATCTAGGGACAAAGTGACCAGCGGCCGGTTATGCCTGGCCCACTGCCGGCGCCGACCCGAGTCGCGCTGTGAGCAGTGGACAAAGTGCCGAACCTCGAGTTCGTGTGGCGACCCACAGATGGCACTGCATGCGCCGTCCGGTGATATGTGATCGCGAGTGAGCGTACTGTGTGGTTCGGACACTGGAGTGACGCGATGCCCGAACCAGCGGGGGTCCATCGGCTCCGCGGCGCGAGGTGGCTTCATTCCTGGCGATACTAGCTCGCGTGGATGAAAAGTCGCCGACGACGCCAGCGTCCAGCTATCTCTGTCGCCGCTGGGAGCGAGGCGTCGCCAGCGTATCCGAAGGCTGCCATGTCGTGTACCTTACCGCGCCATCGTGGATCATCCGTAGGGGGCGTCGTCCCGCTCTGTGGGTTTGGTGGGGTGTCTGTGTAAGGGAGGGCTCGTCTGGTGGTTGACAGTTGTTACGTGGGATAAAGCGAGACCGAGAGCCATGTCCAAGTGTTTGGGCTGCTCGGCCAAAGTGGAAACTGCGATCTCTCGTAGCTTTGTATTCTTGGTTTACTCCAACCAAATTACATACACCGCAGTCCTTGTACTGTTTCACCTGTGCGCTGCACTAATGTCTATGCGAGTCCACGTCCCAAACATAATATATATGCTTTGTTCCCAAAGAGTATCCGATGTTGTATAATGTATATGTATGTACACATTGCATGCGGCCCCAGCCCTGCCCTTCGTGTGAACGGCAACTCTTTCGGCGGCGCCCAGCGCAAATCGCCTCATACCACATTAAAAAAAAAAAAAAATCGGCCGCACTGCCGCGCTACCGACACAATCTTGACCATATCTCAGATCTCACAGACGACAGACACCTCAGTCTACACTAAAACATTACAACGCTGGCACTCCACAAGACACCGACCCGCGCACCGCCGCGCCGGAACTTTGCCTCGCACCTGCGCGCCATCTACCGAGTATTACACACACCAGAGTTTGTGGGTTGTACCGCTGCGCGTGGCGCGGCTAGCGGAACTTGTTGATGGCGTCGAGGAGGACCTTCATCTCGGAGTTGATGTCGCGGATGAGCTCCTCCACCTGGGGCCGCGTGTCCAGGGTGATCACCTGCTGGGTGTACGGGTCGTAACGGACGGAGAACGGACGCGGAATCGTCGCCGCGAAGTTGCTGCGGGAGATACAGAGAGGTCGTCAGTCACTGGGAGAACGATTCATAACCTGGAGAACACCAATTTGAGTCGAAAACATGTATGTTCTAACTGCCCGCATCCAAAGACCCTGGATCAAAAGTTGAGCGATTGCTTTCAGAACGAGTGAAAAGTTGTAAATGTGTTGTTGCATGTATCTGGACGATCGAATTCAGTTCTTTTCCTATTCACTCACATCATCTTGTCCTTGGCGTCGTCGAAGCTGTCGGCCACGTAGTAGACGGGCTGGTACTCGGTGATGGGGTACTTTTGTACGCCAGTCTTCTCCGGCATGAACTCGCGGACCTCGGGCTTGTCCGAGAGGCAGTACTCGAGCTCGCCGAATGAGGACAGCAGACCGGCGCCGTAGGCCTTCAGCTCGCCCTCTTGGCGGCACAGGCCGAACTCGACCGTGAACCAGTAGCACTGGAGGCGGAACCAAGGGAGAGCGTTAGAACATTGATTGGCCGAACACTATGGAAACGAGGTGGAAGCGAATCGCCACCGATGCACTGGTCACTCTTGACCGTTCTTTGATGACATCCTTGTAATGAATCATTTAAGAGTTTCCTATTTCAAAAGCAACTTTCCGACACGGTTATTGTCCCAATTTGTATTCCTGGTGGTCAGCAGACAATCCTGGGCCAGGTATCAGAATGTCCTCCCTCGCCTCCCCTTGCTCCCGAATGACATCAGATCGGACAGAGCCCTTCCTTTCCATTCTATCCTGTCGCCTCCCTACCCCGTCCTTCCCAATCCAGCTGGAACAACTCACCGTGGCCAATTTCTCGACGTACTCGTCGGGCGCGCCGAGCGAGGCCAGCCCGATCTCCTGGCTGAACCGGGCGAAGCTGGGGTCGGCCAGCAGTGGCACGTGTCCCAGCACCTCGTGGCACACGTCTGGCTCGGGTGTGTAGAAGGGCCGGCTCGGGTGGCGAATGTACTGGGTGGAGTGGAACACACGGAACGCCAGGCCGGCCAGGAAGTCGCGAGACGAGAGCAGCCCGGCGACCGGGCGCAGGGTGAAGCCGGTGCACGCTGTGAGAGAGACGGGAGGAGTTAATATACGAGGGGTTGTACTCGTTCTTGGTAGAGGCCGGATGTGAAAGTCTCAAAGGAGTTCAGCGGATTGATTTGGCCGCGGTAAAGGCTCCTTGTTGTCACCTTTAATTCCTAACATCTAATGATCTGTCGGTCAATGATCTTTTATTTTCAAGTCACTTCCGGAATTTGTCACTTCACTCGAAAGTGCTCGCGATTAGTGTAAACGGCAAACGCCCCACGAAGGGCCGAATCGTTGTAATCATACCACCCCGTAACGCCACTTAAGCCCAATAACGCTCCACCCTACAGGTGATCCTTACATCTGAGGAAGTCTGAGATATCCTGCAGCTGGGGCACGTTGTCCTCCCGGTAGCCGCAGTGCTCGATCAGCAGCGGGAAGGCGCGGTTGTGCTCCTTGCAGGCGTGCGTGGGGTACAGCTCCGTCAGCCGGCGGTACACCTTGCCCCAGGTCTCCACGTCCTCCTTGCTGTACTCGACGCGCGGGATCGGCGTGCCGCTGAGGGAGACACGATGGGGCAGAGGTAAGTTCACGGGGTCGGTTGACACGTGATCGGTATCGAGATATTTTCGCGCTGCACTCGGCTGTTTTCCTGACCTGGTATGTATTTCTTAGAAGCTGTACGAATTGATATGAGTTATAAGATATTTTACTGCACAGTGTATGCCGTAGTTTTGGCTCCACAGTATGTCCGTCTGCTTCAATCCGGCCGGGCCCCGCTAAGCCAGGGGACTCACTGTTTGTAGTTGTAGGCGATGTCTGCGAATTCCTTCCTGCGCCTCCTGTACTCGGCGTCGGTGAAGCCCGGGTGATCGGCATCCAGCTCAGAGCCGTACGACAAAATCTGGTCGGCAAACTTGTCCAGGTCGGCGATCTTCTGAGGGTACCACGGCACCACGCCGGCGGCTGTAAGAGCGTGGCAGGTCAGAGGTCAGGTCACGGGTTAGGGCGAGCTGCGGCATCGCGAGTCGCGATGTCGGCCGGCGGGTCAGGTCATGCGGTAGCGCATGACCTGACACACGATCCAAATCCAGGATTCAGAAGCATCTTTGTTGCTAGAAGGTCTTGCTAAATCATATGCGTACAGCGATCAAGGATATGATCGTATTGGAATTCGCCCGGCCTCTTCGGTTTTCTTTGTGGGGACTACCGTCAGCCCAGAACATGTTAATGCGACCATGAGATGAGAATGGCGATGGGTTGGCTCTGAGGATAAAAACGAACGGATGAATAATATTATTATGCTCTTGGACCGTCTCGTGCACGGTGCAGGGCGGTGACGACAAAAGTTTGGGTCAGTTTTGGAATCATAAAGCCAACCTGTTTCTACCGGTCGGAATTCATTTGGTCGTCCATATTTCTGGATGGCCCACTAGTTTATACACAGCTGTGAGGATGCGTCCAATGGCGGATACACATTACACAATACACCTAGCGGGACGCTGCCTAACAACAGTCGGCGGCGTCGTGCGCAGCAGTCTGTCCGACCTTGGCGGGGGAATTTATGACAGGTGTCGGATGGCGCCGCTGGATGCTGGGCTGGAGAAGACAGGAGAGGCCATGGGGCAGTTCGACCAGGTGACACCTGTGACCGGGGACTGTTACTGGACAGGATCAACATCAACGGCTGTGTGGGCAACTTTGTTGACATACTCGATTGTAAGACAGAGTTCGATAGTTCGATTGGTTCGATTGACTGCTTGCTAGAAAAAAAAGGGCTTTTGAAACCTAGAGAGAGAGAGAGAGAGAGAGAGAGAGAGAGAGAGAGAGAGAGAGAGAGAGAGAGAGAGAGAGAGAGAGAGAGATCCCTTTATTAGCAGACTCTAGGTCCATAAAGAATCATGAGAGGTCATAAGACCCTCAACTTAAATACAGACATTGCCGCCATGCCTTCCTTATCGAGGAAGTCACAGCCAGGTCACTGTTGAACAATGTAAATATGATTGATTAGAGGAACACTGAAGGCGCGTCATAAAGTTCCACACTGATTTTCGGCACAAGGCATCAAAGCCGGGCAAGCATTCTTGAACGAACATGTTCGAAGCACTGCAGAACCTGTCATAGCCAAATAACATCCTAGCAGCATTGTTAAAACACACTTTAAATTTCTTCAGAACAGACACATGAAACGAGTGCCACAAATGCATGCAACTGACATTTGAACAATAGGCGTCATACAAATATTTCTTAACCGAGTATGAACATATGGCAAATTTGCGACTGATCGTATTAGCACGGCAACAAAGATTACGATATTGCTGTCGGATTTCTAAGTCATCGACTCTAGAGTCCACATTGCTGAGTTGATACCCAAGATACTTGTAAGAGTCAACGAATTTCAAAGCACAGCCACCAAGCGAGATAGTAGGAACATAGAGATCACGAAATAACTTAGGACATATTTTCATGCAAACAGTCTTTCTAGTGTTGAATTTGATATCATGCTCAATTGCATAGGAATCACAGACATTCAACATTTTCTGCAGTCCATATGATGAAGGGGATAGCAGGACCATGTCATCAGCATAATATAAATGATTTACACTACCTTGAAAATGACACCCAACACCACTCCGATCAAGAAGCGTCGATAGACCATCAGTGTACGCATTAAACAGATATGGAGATAATATCCCACCTTGCCTTACCCCGTTTGTCACCGTAAACCCTTCGGATAACAAGCCACCCCATAAAACATAAAATTGTTGAGTCTCGTACCACGAAGAAAGAAACTTCACAAGACTCACATCAATTTTCCTCTCTAGAAGTATAGAAAATAACTTCCAGTGGTTGACTCGGTCAAAAGCCTTCCGTGCATCGAGAAAGCATACAAATACCGGACTTCTATTTCGCAGATAATAGTCACTTATTTCTTTAAGGGCATATATAGCCATGTCGGTTGAATGTTCCTTTTTGAAGCCAAACTGATGGTGTCCAGTCGCAAGTTGTCTATCACAGCGTTTCAGAATGACCCTTTCAAGAATCTTGGAACTTACACTGGCTACAGCTATTGGGCGATAATTGTCCTTATCTGACAGCTTTGCCGACTTATCCTTTACGATGGGTGTAAGTACAACTTTTGAAAATGTTTGTGGAACATATTCATGCTTTACCATCATGGAAAAACACAAAGATAAATGCACTGCGCTGGAGACACCGGAAAATTTAAAGTGCTCAGCACTGAGCCCATCATTACCACTATAGAGCGACCACAAGATAATTCCCGGATTGACTCGATGATTTCAGGGACAGAAATACACACAAACTGATGGTTTCTCTCACGAAACTCCTGAAGAACAAATTCTTTACGATCAACGCTGCTCACGCTATTCAGTATCTCTGAAAAGTGATCTCGCCACATTGAAGCAATATTGTCACACCCCGAAATGCCATTAATCGAATGAGCAAGAGGGGCACTACCATTAAGTTTCCGCACCTCTTTCCAAAATGCTGCTAAACTATAAGGATTACGTGTGAGCTTGTCTGCTAGGGACTTCGCTCTCAATTCTTTTTCATGCCGAAGGCAAAACCGTAAAGCATATTTGAATCGCGCTCGTGCCAATCGAAGCTGTAAGTAAATGTAACCATCCCGGGGCTTGCCGACCAGGGCCCACAGAGAGTAAACATCACTGAGCAGGACGTGGCTTTCCTCAACAAATTCACTCCAACCAGGAATATTACGCTTCTTCGTAACCCCTAGATTCCTCGATATTGTAGCTTGAGAGGCTTGTTGAATGCATGCAATAATTTCATTGTAATATTTGTCAACGAAAGTACAGTGATCAGCTATAGAGCAATTATCACATTCCAGTAAGTGACGTGGGATATTGATGCGAGATAGGGCAGACTCCACAGAAGAAGTGAATGCACGGAAATCGTCCGGACCAAGGGAATCCCAATCTATAGTCCGTTTTTCTTATCTTTAGACTTCACTCCAAGATGTTTCGCAAGATATGCACGAGACAAAGCATGGCTTAGAAAAAATCAAGCCCTTCGGAAACAGAAAATATTGCCTTGAAGCCTGGAGAGTGGCGCTCTTGGGTGCGGCAAGTGCAGATTTGTAGTCTCACAAATGTGTATTACATAAATAGGTAGGTACTTATACCTACCTGCTACAAAAATTAAGTTGGATAAAGTTTGGTATGCTAACCGAACTATCGATCCGATGAATTAAAGGGTACCTATAAAAGCGAATATCACTTGGAAATGAACTATTCTGCAAATGGACACAAGTCATCATCAGTGACTTTAGTTCAAGACCTATAGGGCTTGGTTCCAGCCGAAGTTTTTTGAAACCGCAGGTGCGTGCGACTGCGAGTGCGGACCCAATGCAAGGAAATTCTTGAAGGAGCTCGGCGTGTGGCTCGTAACAAGTTCTGGCGACTGTCGTGAAGCACTTGGTTTGTGGTTCGCTATCGCAGACATTCGAGTGAACGCGTTTTCGATAGTATTGACTGTGACGTTGTAATCCTCACGAAGTATCATGTGGACGGGTTAGACTGCGTGACGAGAGGCGGAGATGAATTATGCCTGTGGAGGTAGGCAACCCGCAGGACATGCGTGTTCAGCGGCGCAGGCTACCAACACGAGTTGGCTATATGAGCGTGTGTTTAGCGATGAATGCAGCATTGATCGAAATTAACAAATATACATACTATTTCAATGTGATGACATGTTTTGCTCGTATTACCCGCTAGTGTCTACAAATCTACCACCAGTAACTCGTAATACAAATTACAAAAGACAGGAAACACAGGAGTCGTACTCGTATATTGGGTATGTTTGGTTCACCGAAGCCATCGTAGGTCCCATGCGCCCTCAATCACTTTCACTGTCACTGTCGTCACTGCTCGAATCCTGAAGTGACACGATCACTGGCTCGATGTCCTCCATCATACCATCTGCTCGCCAGTACACCTCTTCCAGTTCTCGCACGTGGCGGCAGCAGTTTCGCCACAAGTCCGGTGGCGCGGCGTCTCGGCTATCCAGCAGCAGCCTTTCCACGTCATTCAGATGCCCAGTGTTGTTGAACTGGCGGACGTGCGTCTTCATGTTTGCCCAAACCATTTCAATCGGATTGAGGTCGCAATGATATGGGGGCAACCTCAGTACTTCATGACCGGCCTCCTGTGCCACCTTGTCCAACACATACTCGCGTGTCTGTTTCAGAGGGCGAACCAGCTCAAGAAGCTCGACCTTCCGCAAGTCCGGATCAGGATTGACATCATGTACCCGCAGCCATTCTTGGATCGCTTCCTTCCTCCAGCTAGCTGTAGGTGCCTTGTTAGCACATCTTGAATGATACGAGGCGTTATCCATAATGATCACGCTATTCGCTGGCAGGTTCGGCAGAAGTTGGAGTCGAAACCAGTCCTCGAAACAGCTCGCGTTCATAGACGTGTGATAGTCGGCAGACTTGCCGTCCGTCCTCATACACATGAATGCTCCTGGGGTGAAGCCGCTGTCCGAGCCAGCATCGACTATGATTAGGCGCTTGCCCTTCCCTGTCACTGGCTTATGGCCGGCCACGTCGTCACTGTCCAACCACGCGACCGTTCGCATATCAAACTGGTTATACCAGGTCTCGTCCAAGTACACTATAGTGCGCTCTGGGTCGGAGCTTCTAATCTTCCGAATGCGTCTCAGGAACGCGTTCCGGGCTGCCACCACCTGAGGTTTTTCAACCAGCAGCTTTCGGTTGTTCACTTGTCGGAACTTGAATCCTATTTGGAACAGCTGCTTTCGTATGGTTGAGCGCGAGATAGTCTGCTCGAACTTGTCCTGAACTGCCGCTCTAATGGTGTCCAAAGTGACCTTTTTCCCTTCCAGGTACATGGCATGCACCATTCTTCTGAACGCGCACTGGTCAAACTCGTCGAAGTACTCGCGTGGCCCCCTGTTAGGGC